GCTTATCGTTGTTACTGTCATTACAAAGAATTTGGCGTTCGCCCGCTACATATTTGACTCTCATTGCCAGGGTTTCCTCAAAAATAAGAAACCACTCAGGCGTGTATTCCCTTGCCGTTTCAGCTCGACTCATTCGGCACATGCCATTTCGGCTGAACGAGGACTGAGGCATTATTACGAAACTATATCATCCAGTACTACCGTGCGAGTCCATTGGTCCAACCAATTGTGCAGTTGGATCCCTGCTAGACGCAAATCCCTCATACTTTCTGACCCCATAGGGGCAAGCTCTCGTGCTCCACAACTGGCGCGGTTCGGCGCAAGGTACCATCGCCGAATTATTTTCAGATAGATGGTTTTTCTTTTGGACCGGTGTCATATTTATACTTAACCAGATCCTCACCGCCATCCATGACTCAAAGCAATAACCACCATCGCCGCACTTCCTCGGGCTCCAATGTCCCTAAGCTGAGGAACTCTCGGCCGGCTTTACATCGGAGAGGCACATCCTTTGTCAACCACTCCATATCCAAACTAGGCTCTGGACAAGTCACCAAGCAGTTGGAATTGGACGACGACCGGCAGCCCGAGATGGCGGCTAGCTTTCTCAACTTTTGGTATGTGTTATGCTACATCTAGTATCTTCGGCCCTGCCTTCTCCCCAGCATGGTTGCTTTTGCCAATCCTCGCACATCCCCGTTAACCTTGTCGCTTATTCCCCTTGCATATCAAATGATCGCTTATCTTCAGGATCAAAGCTAACTGATCTACAGCGCCATGTGCGAAAAGCAGATAACAGTGCCTGACAATTCCCTCTTATATTGTAGCGAAAGGTATGAGACTCCTTATCGCGCCACGGCCTTGACTTGCACAGCCTCCACTGTTGGTTTAAATTCCAACCAGTTCCCCCTAGCCCTTCCTTTGTCTCAATGCTATCTCTTTCCTTTCAATAATTTTCTTTTAACACATTATCTCTGCAGCTGTCGCCGCAAAGACTCCCACAAACCACTCTCAGCTTCCTTCTCATCAAACTCCTCCATGTCTTCCTCAACAACTCCACCTGCCTCTCCTCCTATGTCTCCTCGAATGATTGTAGCACCCATGACTCCCACGAAAGGTGCCGCCAGATCCTCGATCTCCAGGATACCCAGCGAATGGAATGATTCCAAGACGGATCAGGATCCATCCGAATGGAAGCCAGTGATACCTATGGGATCCGGTGCCAGTTCTCTGGCGTCGTCAGAGGCTTGGAATTACCTATCCCAGTTTCACCGTGATGACACTATGATGCCGGTCCGGCGCCCTCGGTTTGATCACCGCAGTTCGACCAGCTTGTCGGCACTCTGGAGTGCTACAGGGTCTGTTCCGCCGCTGATGCACACGCCGTCCACAGCTGCTTCGTCGGTGAGCAGCAACGGGTCGGACTATATGAGCTATATGCATGACTCGGCCTATCGTCCACTGCCCCCTCGGCACAAGCCCCAGATGTCTGGTTGCTCAAGCGCCTCGAAGGGGCTCGACTTGGTGGTGCCTCATGTGCATGTGAGCGTGGAAGATGCCCCCGCCGTTAATATCTCCAACGATGGGTCGATCTTCCCCGCCAGTAGTGCGCTATGGGATGAGAAGCCCATTGAAAAGACGCCCACCCTGAAGACGGCCTTGGGTTCGCCGACGTCTGATATATCTGCCCGTTCCCTGGAGGAGATTTCGTGATCATACCGTCACGATTCTGACGCTTTCCAAGTCGACTGAGGTTACAATTCTTAGTCGAAATTGCAAGCGCTCAGATGTTGTGCATGTGGGTCATGGAAAGGGCTAGCCTCTGGCATTATCTTGAATTTTTATTTTTTTTATTTTTGGTTTTCCGTTGTCAGTCATTTTGGTATATGCAAATATTGAGCGGGAAAAACACAACAGATGCATTAGAGCCAGCATGAGTACTACGAAGCGATGGATGATAGGCGTGGAAACAGCACCTTCCTTTTGGACATTGAGCACATAGCGGATGCTTAAATGGATTCTTAATACCACACGGACTTTGGGCATGTGTATAGACGAGCGGGGATTTCTATATAGAACTGAACAAGACATGTTTTTTTATTGGACCATCCACCTATCAATTTGTGATCTACCACTAGACCGACCCAGAGGTACCCATAGTGCGTGCAAGATGTTATTAGCTGCTGTCAAAGACTAACAGTACTACCGAACCACTGCCGAACGCCCTGTATTGTGAAGTATGACTAAGCATATACATACAGTGATGTATAATGTTATGCATAAAACGAGTGGCAAGTAACAGCCAGCAAAGAGAGGATAGTTGCTCGCAGCATCCCATTGCTATACATGAATCATACAGAAAGCTTAATTGGCAAATAAGCTACAACATCATGCCGTGTAGGTCATACAAACTAATGACTTGCAGTTCACATACCAAGTAAAGAACGCCTGCTCCGCAACATCCTCTGTGCTCCTGATGTGTACTATAGCATAGCTTTCGAGCATCATAGCCCGGAGTAAATTCCTTTCCGTGGATGCGCCCCATTTTCATACCAGTATACTTCAATTTGCGTTGAATAAATACGCTTTACATTCGTTGGATCTCACAACAAGAAGAGTCTGGTGGCAAAAGAGCAAAAGAAGGAGAGGCGATGAAGATGTCAGCCAAGCACTGGACGTGCATCAGTTATATAGCTGCAGGGTGTCTGCAACTGGTGCATCTTCTGGTGTGGGTTAATTTACCATCTTCTGAGGACGCAGAAAGCCCATTATCCACCCAGCGATGTTAGTTATTCAGCCTCTCACCAGTCTTCTTCGTTTCTGGATGTCTGCTAACGAACCTGCCTTGAAGAATCCAACACTTGAGAGGTACATAATCAGCTCATATACGAATGCTTTAGCATTAGAAGTATTCTTGGAAACTCAAAAATAGGGGGTCCAGTCTTGCAAGATGAGTTCATCGTGAAACCAGATTCTGCCATTCTACTGAACCCTGAGATTCTCCAAGCCTAGATTAGGCAACTTGAAGCGAACCTCGTATAATAAAGAGCTCGTAAATAGAGCAGAATAATTTGTGAAAGACTAGGAACAAGTGCAACAGAACTAAGGTACCAAGGTTAGTTTGGCGAGCTTTTCCTGGGACGGCAAGCACATTTGTCCTGCCAGCCGGAAATGATTTCCATCCACCCCCCGTTAACTGAATCTTGCGAGCGTCCCGTTGTTTCTTTCTTTCCATCCTGTCACCAGCCCGATATCAAATCCTGCATCGAACGAGCATCGGAAACGTGACCATCGAGGTTTCTTGTCCTTTGCATCCCGTTTATGCCTCCGTCACCCCCGTCCATCGACTAGTTTCTCTTCAGGGATTTTACCTTCTGCTCTCTCAGCCTCCTGCCAGACCTCCCTGCTCGGGCTCCAGGCTGTCCTCGTCATTAAGAAGCTAGAATTATGATGAATTTCCTCTTTTCTCGTCAGTACGCGTGGATCGAAGTACTTCTCATGCCCCATGATACCGCAACCTCGTTTGGCCTGGTGCGCCCATGAAGAGCTTGATGGAATTACTCTGCAGACTCAAATGTGGCTTCTATGAGAGTAGAATGCTTCAAGATCCGTTATTACAACGGACAATTATCCTTGGCTTGTCTGGACACGAGACAACCTGTACTAATCACTGGTTGTGAAGATATTCGAAGACTCCACATCGTCCTCTGAAGGCTACAGAATGCCTGGTTGAGAACAAGTGTCTTTCAGCAGATATACTCATTAATACCTCTGGAATTAGACGCTGTGTTCACCTCACGTTCCGTGTCCAAGCCCATGCTATTATTTTGATTCTTGCTAACTTAGCGCTGACGTAGAGCCGGAGAGCCCGCAGACCAGATATGCCAAATCCCACTTTCCCTTCGAACGACGTGCTTCGGCAGAACCAATCCCCTATGATCTTGACAATACGAGAGATTGGAGATACCTTGAACAACTACATCTACACCTGTATCACTGTGGGGTCATACGCCGTCAACTCTAAAGGCTGGTTACACAAATTGATCCACTCGGCCGGGTATGTCCCATGGTCGGCAATGACAGGAACAGATGCATGTTTTGCTGCATGTCATCAATGAACCCGCCATATGGTCGAATGAAAGCCCAGATATAAAGAACGAAGCGTGTATTTGGTAGGGAGATTATGCCACGATAGGCTGAATGTCGGCCGTTGGTACAAGCCAACAGCAAATTTGCTCAATGCGAACAACGACGTTGCTCAGTGCACAAACTACCCGCTGCATAACCCAATTACGGCAATTGGTCGAGACCTAGTGCTTCTGCCCTCCAAACACAAGGATATCATGTTGGTGTTAGCTGGCAATAGCAAATATCACGGTCCAGCGACCGATAAAACCCTTAGGTCGAACTAGCACCGGCAGACGACGTTGCTTGAACACGATAGCAACGCACGAATTATAATATAATGCCAGTGTCAGGGTCTGAAGAGCTAGGATACAATACAATGCAGAGTGGATGAGAAGGTGCTTGACTAGATGCGTCGCGGAAGCACATCCTCTCTGAAGTGACTAGGGCTGCATTAATATCGTTCTGTCTGCAGAGACTTGATTGGACCGGCACGGAAACGAAGACCTAAGGTATCTGACAGTACCAGACGTGCTGCAACCGACACGCGGCGTGAAACAGTTCAAAATAGGCCAGCGGGTTGAAATAGGCTAAAGTGATAACACAATTGCGATAGGAACGAACTTCTATTGCTTATGGCTCGATAGCATCAATGCTGGGCGCAGTGTGCCGTCGAAGGGCCATCTGCAGTCAATGTTATTCAATGGTCTCGGCTACGCAACGCGCGCGCTACTCTTCCAACTACGAGCCTCCGAATCGAGAACCCCAAGCCTACGAACCATCTAGCGGATTCACCCCCACTACTGGGACTATTTTCAATGATTAATATACCCTAGGTATGGAAGGTTTTTCTTTCCAGAGTCGAAAACAATACACATACAAGCAAGGATTTATTTATGACGAAATCAATACGCCACATTGCAACATTATGTACATGCCCAGGACACGGAATCCTTGATTCCTCTTTAAGCGCAGCACAAGAAACCCAATAATTTCGCTAGAAGGATTACGCGACAACTGGACTGGGACATAAAGTGGGGGACATGTCGGCTGATTTCAAGCATCGTCGCCAATGATGTCGTCAGGAAGGATATCATCAGGGAGACTGTCCGCAAAGCCACCCGCATTATCATTATCGAGGCAGCACATGTAGCAACCCAATGATGCTTGCCACTGTCATAACGGTCAATGAGGACTCTGTGCCCAGAACCGAGGATGTGCTTACCTCCGGATTGCTGCAGGGAAGTTCGGAACTCTTAGGAAGACATTGGCCCGTGCAAAACTTGTTTCCAGTATCAGTACCCTGGGAACCAGTCTGGGCATAGGCAGTAGATGCGAGGAGGGCAAAAGCCGTAACGAAAAGATCGGAAAGCTGCATCTTGCTAATTTGACCAAATGAGTGGCAGTCTGAAAACGAGGGAATGGACACCGAGCAAGTTCGGCAAGAGGACAGAATCAAGTAGGTAATGTCATGCAGCCGATCACGTACATGGGTGGCAGCGACACATAAGTTGCTTTATAAGTGCTCCGTTTCCCCTTGCTATTTGCGAAGCAAGGGGGGATAATTTGCACCTGTTATTACTGTGTCGCGTCCCTATGCTAAACGATCAGAAAACAAGGTCCAAAGAATGCTGCTCTCCTACGAGCATGAATTCCAGGACAACAAGTTTTGGTATGCTCTGGCAGAGCAGAGCCAAAAGACGTCAACAACATCGATATGGAGTCGTTCTTTTCGAAGATCAACCCATATCCCCCATCCCTCCTGAGCGTGTTTCTGAAGTTACCACAGAACAACACATCAGTTATATCTCCCAGAAAATATCCCTATACAGCACGTGGCTGAATAACGTGTGGCTGTGGTCAATGCTAGCCACCTACTTACCAACAGCATGTCTCACATTCCCAGCGGAAGCGCCTCACGCGCCACGCATAGGGAGCATAACTATACATACAGGGATAAATTATCCGGAGCAAGGGAGAATAAACAAACAATTGTAGGAACTATACTAAACTGCCCTTCGGTGAATAAGGCTCTGCAGTGAGTATAATTAAGAAGGTTATGTAATACATAATGTGAGTATGACCATGCTCAAACAGCGTCAATTATGTTCTCTGCCGGAAAGCTAAGTTGATCTTGCTTGCATTGACAAAGATCAATAAATGCAGGAGACCAGCACTAACTTTATAGTACATCAATCTGGCTGATTATACTTCCATACTAACAGGGCAGATGAAACTTTGTGAAGTTAACATAGTACTATACAGGGACAGTAACTAAAAATCAGATCAGTGTCATGATTTTATCACTGACATGACATAGTAAGATATGTAAGTAAGATATATACTATACACAGACAGCAGTTAATCAGACCTCGACCATAGTAACAAAACGAATACGTGAAGAGAACTAGTCTCTCAATGGACGTGTTCAGACCCCACGAGCTAATCCAATAAAGGTAAAGTACTTTCTTCAGGGCAGAAATTACTAAACTACGTGTAATCCTATTTCCACAAACCATGTCCTCTAATCCACACACCAAAGAGGGTGTGATGAAGAAAACTAAAAGGGGGCGGCGACCCACACCAATTTTGACATGGTAGGACGTGCGTGGACCTTGCGCAAGTCATCTCACCCCTGAGGAGTCATAGACTAGGGTGGCAATTTCCCGAGGGACACTTCTTCAGCTAGCCAGAACCGGTTCGGATGTGCTTTAATCTAAGCTGATAATGACTTGCATATGCAAGCTTTGGATGCCTTTTTTTGGGTAATATCATCCTAGAGGACCCTGCATATGGGGGGCTAAGGTGGACTAGTTCCAATATATTTGTAGCCTGTACGGAGTAGTAAGAGGGTGGACATGCACTAGTATGAGGTTAGGCATATGTTCCTCCGTAGGCTGCATAACCGGCCCCAAGAATGGGCTGCCAGATTCCACTGTGGCACGGAAACATTTTCCGTAGTGCAGGCTATGGCAGCAGGCTCACGGAATGGTGCCAGCACATCTGGCTGAGACTGGGCCGCAGGGCTCCGCCTCGAGACATGGTTCAGTAGAAGTTCTGACAAACAACGACCGGAACCCAGTAGATATTTGCTTTTTGCCGTTGTTGTCATCGCTCTTCCTTATTGTCCAAACCGACAGTGACCAGTCAGTATAGACATAAATTTCCCTTAGAATGGCCTATTCAGGTAGAGCACTGCACTCTGCGACGTACTCTTGGGTTCCTCACTGCTCGCAATAATACGCGGAAGAGCGCCTCCACCGGTATACTTCGAATGTCACCCGAACCGAGACACCGAGCAAGGCCTGTTATTGACTGTCAGATTTTGCACTTTCTGGATTGCAGCCTCTCATGACATGCTCAGAAGCTGCTGAACAAGTGTAGTCGACAAGTCTACACTGGTACAAGCCATACTTTGTATCGCTAACCTGCAATGTCGTAAAAGAGATGTCGGATGCGAGGAGTCCACCGGCGTTGTGAAGGCTGCACTGATCTATTGAGCCATAAGGTTAGTACTGATGCAAACTTCTCACACTTATCCTCTCACGGCATGCGCCTTGATAGTTTGTAAGCGTTTCCAGAACGCATGACCTTTTTTCCTCGCGTTCGGGAGATGACTTCGGAGGCGTCCAGTAGTTGCCCAATGAGGATTCCTGGATGTATTTTCCTTCGCTAATGGGCACTCACCTTGGCGCTAGAAACCACCGGTTCGTCTGGTTGCTTGCTGCCCTTGCCCTGTTCCCTCCGCCCCCCTTTTCTCTCCAGGTAGGTATTCCTCATCTCCTTCAGGTTTTATGGTTGCTTCTTCTTGACTGCCAGTGCCTAACCTGGAGCAGAATCCACCAATGTGATTGATCTACTAGAAAGACTGAAAATCGATTGGTAAGCGAAGACTATTTCACTCTCGACACAAATTTCTGGCTTCTGCAAAACTTTGCGCTTGCACGGACAATACTGGGCGCAAGCTCGCCTTCTGCATGTGGTTTCGTCAGAACCGAAATATAGTCCTCTACAGTTGGCTCTTACCTCTACACCCGAGACGTCTTGCCCACGCCCACAATGGCCAGTGTTCTCATGGCGGGCGATGAGACTTCCCGTCGTTGCAAATCCGGTCAATCCCCGGAAGTGGAGCAAGCCAGATTCTCATAACATCTTCCGAACTATTACAGCCGCCTGCCCGCCGGTGAAGCACCAAAATGGACTTTGGCAGGTCTGGACAATTTGTAGGGTCGGACCTGATGCCTTCGATGGATGCCTTGATCACCGAGATGTAGGCATTTGAACTGGACAAGGCGTGCCAAAGCGCGAACGAAGCTTGGTATGCAGTTGTTTGGAACAGCACCTTTCTACTGATTTATCAGTATCACCCAATCATTTCAAGCTCGATAGACTGCACTACACCCAGCATTCAATCGGTGGAGTCTCTGCCCAATGCTGATGCCCGAACAAGAAAGCCAGACTTGGTTGTACGGATCCAACTTAGGACGTCGCACATGGCACTTTCGATGAAAGCGTATCGGACAGAGTTGTACATTGACAGACCTGACGTTCATGCTAAAGCGCACTAGTTCCCGTGACGTAACCAAACATATGACAGCATACTCGTTCGCTGAGCCAGCACACGAGCGTGATTGACGATTGCGATACGAGCGAGAAAACTATTCTGGAATCACACAACAGACGGTAGTCATTTAAAGTGAGAGCTCGAGCACCACGTGTACCTTTTGCAGACTTGCAAAGAAGCTATAGATCTGGTGGATGCCTGAGTTCATTGTGATGAAACCATCGAAGATTGACGCTAGATCTGCACGTCAAATCGAGCCAGACTACAAAGCTTGGCGCTCGTTCGAACAAGGGTCCTTACCACCCATGCGAGTCCAGCACAAGCAACGACCTTCGGTTCCATAGAGACACGTCTTTGGTATAATACGGCAGATTGTCCTAGATGCGCTTTACGAGCATACCGAACCGATGGGGTGCTCGCGAACACGAGCTGAGGTGCCGTCACTGTGCCTAAAGCCTAACGGTTGAAACCAAAGATCATCGCGCTTCCTGTGGTATCCTCTCCCTCTTCGCCGAAGTGTACTGAGCTTGACCAAAAGGCACGTCTCGGATTCACTCGATAACCGGAATGACTGGTGCAAGTCTCCAGCTCTCAGAGGAGACACTTCACAGGTGTGAAACTTGCGAGGCGGATTGTGTATCCCGGGACAAGCCTGCGAGCAGGCTGCTCAGAAGACTGACAAACCAGATATGCCGTGGATTTGTGCCACACTGAAAATTTGCCAGTATATATTTGAGTAATCAAATCCGATGATGAATCCGTGTCTTGATACCATTGTGGTATTCTCTGCCGCTACCAGTGTGTTTCCACCGAAGACAAACCATCGCCGTTTTCTTAATGTTGACAGCAAAACGCACCGCGGGACCGCTGAAATCCTAGATGACATGATGCTAATGATACCGAACTCTGAATCCATTTCTCTTTCTTGTTGTGGGAGGACGATTTTCGAGAGACTTGTCGCGATAAATTCGAGGTCAGGAGGCGAGTCTGGTTCTCGGCAGATACGGTTCTACTGATTCCTCGTCATCAATATGCAGGTCTGCGAGAGAGAAAGCATTCGATGTGACGCCTGTTACATAAGTGTCAGTTCATAGCTTCCATAGGAGCAAGCTCTTCTGCCAGGCCGTGAAGCGTTCCCACAGTCAAACGGGGCTAATACAATAACCACAAAAGCCGGTGGCAGCTGTCCGCTGACTTGGAGCCAGGCTGCTGCATCACGAAAACTTCCCACTTTGACACATGATATTGTAGGTATAAAGGATCAGCTTTGAAAAGACCGGACCGTCTTGGGGAGGATTAAAAGAAGAGAGGGAAGGTCAGTGATCCGGTTGACGTATAGTCACGGCACCAGATGTTCTAGCGTGCACTACAAAAGCGATGTTTCCCCGAATGGCGGCGGAGACGAGAGGGAGCGAGGATTGGCTGGGAGAATTCTCCGCGAGCACAGTACCAAAGATCCCCCAAACCAACTAACAGGCCTAACCTGACATTACTCTGTGTTGCGGGTAGCTTTATTCCATGGTTCTTGACTGGCCCGCTCGGCGAAATGTGCCTGCGGATAACAAAGTCGCCCGCAAAATGATCACATATGGTGCTGGTCTGATGGGGTACCGTCGAGGGAGCAACCGTGCCCGGTCAGGACAGCGCAATGATGATCCTTTCTGGGCTTTGCCTCTGCAATGCCGTCCTATGGCTCCTCCAGGGCCTGTGATCGATCTGCTGAACACCCTAATGAAGAACTGACTCTTGGCCAATGATTAATCCCTGTTCGCGTGGCTTAGGTCAGAGGATGGACGCTTCCCCCTTCCCAACCCGACAGCTGTCTCCTTCTAGGCTCAGCTATTTCCTCAATAATTCCACCATTAAGCGGAAGATTCTTGTTGGGCCATTGGGCGGCAATACCCAAGTGCGTGGTCAACCACTGCATCAACCGCCTGGGCATAGCTTGCCTCCACTGGTAACTCGGCTAAGCTCTTGGAATCAAGAGGCACCCATATTACGGAGTACACCTGTCACCAGATCGACGGATTTCCTTGTCTTGTGGGGCACTGTTCAGCCTGGACCTTCCTCGATATCAGTCGCCACTTTCCTTCTCTAATCTGATCCTTATCGTTCCTGCAATATTATAATATACACTCCACCGCCAAGCAGGCGTCTTGTCGAAAAACAAACGAGGGGCATCTCCACAGGTTGGAAATCGAGACTCCCCCTCTGCGGACAACAGGATGAGACAAGAAAACACTGGCTCGTCACCAAACGGCCATCCCAGGTAGGTACCTTACTGTTAAGAACTCTGTTTATTTCGCCCGTATTCTCTTGACAGTATCGGTTGACTGTTTTTGCCATTAGTCGCCACAACCAGAGCAGTCAAAGCGCGCGTCTCGAGCCTCCAGACAACTCTTCTCAAACATCTGACCGACTCGCCGAGGAACTGGTTTATTACCGAGGCTTCCTCGAACAGCTTCTAGGAGTAGTCCGCAATGGAGATCAGGATACTGTCAACCAGATGGTTTCCATGATACGTTCGGATGCATCCCACCAGCAAATCCTGGCAGCCTTATCTGAGAACTCCGCCAACGGCGGCCAGACTGCCCAAGGGGCTCGTGGTCGGAATAATCACAACCCAAACTGAATATCTGCAACCCTGTTATGCCTCGCATACCCAGCAGATTGTCCGCATGACGCATGATCATTTGATAAGGTCTTCAAAAGGTGTCCTGGCCCCCTTTGAACGCAGATGAAGGAAGTGGGATACAGCTAGACGAGTTATTCGTATATCTTTCTGTCTAGTATCATATTAGTCGGGTCCTTTAAGACAAGGAAAGTCTACCTATCTATCGTCTCACATATCATACCAGAGAGAGAGCCGCCACCGGCAGCTTAAATAGCTGTCGTGTGCTGAGAGAACGCTGTGTACGATCCTTAAGACCAGCAGATGTCTCGCACCAGGTACTGTGTTGCAACCAGGCTCCTGTTGCACCGGTCTATCTCAGTTAGCATCCTGTATTCCTAGAGGGGCCATGGTAGCCGTCCCTATGGACATAGCTTGCTTTTCCAATGGAGGCCGGTCTTGGACACAGCATTATCCATATCTGCCCTCTACACTTCTGGCTCAGCATAGCAATGTGCTCGTCGCGACTCTGAAAGCCCACTATGGTGACATAGAGCGCTCAGCGAGCATAATCGGCTTGGCTGCTTCCTGCAGGGAAGATGCATGAGAAACCATCCAATAAACCCGGAATGGCATTAATGAAAGCCGACACTTACCAAAACCAGCTATACATGTTAAGTGTCGCACTCGATCACCCAATTCGAAATTTGACAATAAGGACTAATGAGTTGAGAAAGTGATTGAGCGATCATCATATGTAGAGAGAGTAGTAGTCGCTGCTCGTGATGTCAAACGGAGCTAAACCCCCTTGAGCGTCCAACCAACAACATCCTTGGCTGCATACTATGGTGGTGCCTTCTCAATACGGATCTTTCTTACAGTGTCTAATTAGTACTTATTCCCCCACTTACGACATCAACTTCTTCCCAGTGATGTGCTGACTCACTGTCTACTCACTACGTCTGTCTACGGATCGATATTATGACGGACTATAGTGCGAAGACGCAGTTTTAGTAATCCTTTACTTCCATCACGACCCACACTGGTCTCACTTCCAGACTCGATAGCTTTGATGTAGGTCGAAGTCAACGATTTCTATTTCTTCATTTACAAGAAGCTGGTGTCGAAGCGACCGTAAAATTACGGCTACAATATAGTGATAATCTGAAATTAAGAAGCAATCGGAATTATACTTTACGATAGGCCCTGTGACCAGAATTGAATGAAACATGACGATTTGCTTTCATAGTCGATATCAGAGAGTATTACCATGACTACCGATATCACATCTGGAATGAGTCGGTGTATCATGTATCTATAAATCCTGTCTATGACACCAAAGCGCTTAAGGAGTGCAACGGCCGGTGAAACGAGGATACAAGGAGCAGTCGCGAACGGTGTAACGAGCACACAACCAAGCCAGGAAACGTTCGAGACCAAGACCGTAACCACCGTGAGGGGAGGTACCGTACCTATATTGTAGATGCATATCAGTTATACGTCTCTTAGAGAGATTACATGATGGGGAGAGGCTTGTGAAGGCTTGACTTACTTGCGCTGGTCAGTGTACCAGTAGTACGGGGAAGGATCCATGCCTTCGTGCTTATAGGCGGCCATGAGCTCATCCCAGTCGTCCATTCTCATACTACCACCGACGATCTCACCAACACCAGGCATGAGAACGTCCACACTCTCGGTGACACGGCGGTCTTCAGCGTCCTTCTTCATGTAGAAGGCCTTGATCTCAGCAGGGAAGTGGGTCAGGAAGATGGGTTGGTTGATGATATCGGTCATCTTTCTCTCAGCAGCCTCGGCAATGTCATCGCCGAACTCGTGAGGCTTGCCCTCCTCGTTGGGGATGTCGTGTTCCCGCAGCCACTCAATGGCATCGGAGTACTTCATCCGCTTGAAGGGGCGGCTAGGGGGCTTGAAGTCGGGGTTGAGCTTCTCGATGAGGGCCTTGGTGGCCGGCTCAGCCAGAGTCAGATCAATAACACGGCAGATGACGTTCTCAAGGTGATCGAGGAGGTCGTTGAAGGTGATGAAGTCAAGCTCTGCCTCGATGTGAGTGTACTCGGACAGATGGCGACGGGTGAGCGACTTCTCAGCACGGAAAGAAGGGCACACACAGAAGACGTCACCAAGGGAGGGGAGACAAGTCTCCAGGTAAAGCTGGGAGGACTGGGTCAAATAAGCATTCTCGCCATAGTAGTCGAACCCGAACAAGGTGCTTCCACCCTCCACCTGAGTCTGAACCATGGCAGGAGGAGTGACTTCCAACATGCGGTTCTCTTCGAAGGTCTGGCGGAAAGCCCGGAGGGTAGCCGCGCGAACCTTCATCACTGACGAGGCGGTCTCACCACGGAGGACGAGGTGACGGTTGTCATAGAGGGTTTGGGGATCAGCATCAGGTGCAACCCTAGTGGTGATAGCCTCCTTGTCACCAGCAGCGCGGCCAATGATAGTGTAGAAATCGGCGTGCAGCTCACGGTTGTTGGGAGCATGCTGCTTAGGGGGGACGGCACGCATCTCACCATGGATAGCAATCGAAGTCTCAAGGGTAAGAGTCATGGCATCGTAAGTCTTACACAGGTTGCCCGTCAGGACGCACTGCAGGTAGCCATAGCCATCGGTCAGAGTGAGGAAGATAACGTCCTTCTGAGCACGCAGACGGTGAACTCTTCCAACCACACGAACACGAGTTCCAGGAGTCTCAGACTCGGGGGATCCCAGCTTGACAACGGCCGGATCAGTCACATCAAGACGGATCTTGGTGGGCTTAGGAAGTGAGGTGTCCTCCGTAAGAACGACCTTCTTCGCCTCCTCAAGGATAGCCTGTCGCTTCTCAGCCTCCTGCTTCTCGCGGATAGCCAATTCTTGTTCCTTCGCAGCCTTTCTCTTCCGTTGCTCGTACAGGTTGGTGGCCTTCTTGACCGCCGATTTCGTGGCCGGCTTCCACTCCAATTTAGACGCGGGATCGGCGCCTGCCTCCGTGGGCTCAGTCTGGGACTTGCGGGTCAGGTACTGGTTGCCATCGGTAGGAGCGTGCTGCATGAAAGCATGAAGGAGGGTCTTGTAGGGGGCAGATTCGCTTCCGTTGGCGGTCGAGTCGTCCCTGCCGACATCTTCGTCAATGTAGATAGAAGCCATTTTGGCGGGTTAGGTGTAGGAGTCTGGCCAGCGCGAGGGAATCGGGGGGTAATGAGCTGGGCTCTGGCGGAGGTGTCAGTCAAATTGTGTTGCGGAGGCGCATGTGAGTCACCACGAGAGTCTTCTTATCGGGCGCTCATAGGCATTGAGTGATAAGACAAAATGACAGAAAGTACTCACATGTAGACCAGTACTCTGACCAGAAGGCGACTATGCAGCAAGTCCCGCGGGAATGGAGGCCAAGATGTTCAACTCGCACAGTGTGGAAGTGAACAGTGGAGGGGTAAATTTTTGGATCCCGATATCCCCACGTATTATTCAGGCATCAATAAGGCATACATACTGCCGCCCTGCGCGGATACTACCTTATCTAACCACTTGGAGACACGGGATAATCATTCGTCCGGACGATGTCTTCCATTTTAGTTAGTTGTAGTAGCCATTATGCACCGGATCTATTGACTATGAGCAAAATCGAGAGCTTCATGCTTGGGTATAAGTAGTCCCAAGAAGAGAACACATCGAACGATGTCTAAGGTAGGCCCCTCGCGCCGATAGAGACAGGAAGCGCTACGTCTTAGATCTCTCAATCGCCATGTCATATCTTCTAAAGAGATTTCTTGTCTTCTCAATCAACAATCCTACGGGCATTGACTCTGTACGGATTAGTGAATGGGTTATAACTGTACGGAGTATAGCACTGGCCATTTGCAGAAAGGCCCGCCATGGAAGGTACTACTGGCACAAGGCGCCAAGACCCAATTGTTCTGCAGCCGGACCGGATCAACACGAATTCCGTCAGGTTCAAGAGCCGCTGACCAGGACACCCCACCAACACAAGATCGTTCGTAGACGCTGTGGCTGGTTGAAAGTCTCCTGTTAGCCCCGATTCCTGGCACTTCCGCTGATTGATCAATCATTTACGATCAGAATGACCGATCGCAATGTGGGAAAAGCAAAGTCCCAACTGATGCATCTCAGGGGATGGCATAACTCCTGGAGGCGCTGATACCGCTGCTGCAGGGCGATAGAAAGGATTATAGATTTCTCAGCATTTGCCATGGCCGAAATCGCGCTGTCGCCCGAACTTGTTGGTCGGCCATCGTCTGAACACGAACCAGAAGAGTTTATTTTGGGGCAGGCTACGTGATACCACCCATTCTCAGATCGATTGATAGCAGAACAGAGCGCTTCAATATGCGTGGAAGCGCAGCATGCTTGTTTGAGTGGGAAAGCCGCTGCTTAGTGCTGCCCATGCGACGGATGACAGATGGTTGAATGGAGACCATTTCCCCATCTTTTGCCTCAAAAGTATGGATCTGCTAAAACCTTTCACTCCACAAGAATTGATTACGCTATTACTATAATTATCCATTGGGACTTTTCCCGCAGTCACAATGATGGTTCAAGTTCACCATGGAGCATTGACTGGTTGAGGAATCCTTCTGCCGCAAATCCCCTTTTTTACCCACCTGCTTTTCCTCCCCCTTTGATACATCGATTACATACTTGCTGCTCTGTCTCGGCCCATTCCTTGCTTACCTGACCCTGTAACAGTTTGTCTCTTTTTGGCTAGTTCCTCGCGTTCTTTACTATCTGGGATTGTTGGTTCTCCCACAACAGTTCCCTTGGTTCAATGTGATTTTATTTTAATTACTCGAGTTGTTGATGATAATATTTTGATAAGCTTTCATTTGTTTGATTACTGTTTACTTGCATTTCTATAAGATAGCCTGGGAAACGCGAGAGGAGAAGTATTGCAGGGTGTTGTTCTTGTTCTTTCCTCGCGGATATCATTCATTCATTATTATCTTTATTTTCTCCTCACTATTTTATCGCGCCTGTGTCCCTCAAACACGCGCCCCCCTTTTTCCCCTACCAGGGGCCCTCTTTTTTCCTCACCCTTCTTTTCCGCTTAACTTGTACTGGCGGCTGTAACCTTTTAGTTTAATTGTTCTTTGCAATTACTTTCTCTCTTTCCCTTTGCTTTTCTTTTACTCTTCGTCTACTGTTATTACCACTTATCCCTTTTTAGTTGGATTGTCGGCGGCCTTTGGATACCTTCTTTGTCAACGTTTGGGTCCGCTACAACCTGGCACTTTGGCAGGTCTGGGGCGTTCTCCCTCTCCAGTACTCCGTACTCTCATTTGACAGGGTCACCTTTATTTTGATCATTATTTTTATCTTTTTATCTTTGTCCTCTCCTTCTAATCTCGGTTGGATCTCAGTCGGAGCACAACATCACTCTTGCTTTAGTCTCTCGGCCTCCTCACCCGCAAAGCCCCCTAAAGCAACTAAACCAGCGCAGGTTTGTCTCCGTTTCCACCAACTCAACCACTCATTGTCCATGCACATTCCAATTGACTAGCGGGATCCCTTCTAGACACGTCTTTATTGGCAGTCTTTCTGCTCCGTGCTCTTTGCCGTCCTTTCTGCTCTTCTTTCTCAGTTTGGTTACCTTCATTCTGGCCTCTCCAGGTCTCTGTTTTCTTCCTTATTTTCCCCCTTCTCTTTTCGGGGGTGATCATCGGGCCCGGCCTTTTTTTCCCTCTCTCCTGGCCATTCCTACCGTGTTGATTGCCTAGTACGTCCTCTCCCCCTTGACTAAGTGATATCGTTAATTTCCATCGACCACGAACTCATCTTATTCCGTTTTCCTTCATTAGGGGGACAATTGTGTCCTACTCGCTCCCTTCCCTCGCCATGCAAACCTCCGATGCAAGCATTCCGAGTCGTCTGATCCCTTCCAAGTTTTCCCACCTCAACGCGGACAGCACCGGCTTCTCTCACGGAGCATACGCCTCCAACAATATTCCCCTGCAGGGCCTAACGGACCGGAACGCTCGTCGAGCCAATATCCCTGCGATTAATACCTCTGCTCCCATCTCGGACAACATGGCCGCCTCTGGCGCCGCGTTTGACATGAACTTCACTCCCCTGCTACCTTCTCAGCTGCTGCTTGGTAGCCCCTTTCAGCCGGGTACTCCTTCTGCATTCGCCTCGCCCCAATTCGCCAATTTCGGCGGCTTTCCCCAGACGAATGCCTCATCACATGCCCAGAATCATCAGAGTCACCATCAGCTCGGAAGTCCGACCCAGCCCTCGCAGAATGCTGGCCTATATTCTAGTATGATGTCGACGGATGGTATAGGTAATTCTCAAATGCTGGGAGCTCCTCAGTCTCCTGTTGGTGGGATGGGGCCGCTGGGCAACGCAGCGTACGGCAGTCCCGCTGCCTCGGTAACCCCTGGCTTGCTTTCGGGTACGAGCCGAACCGTATACCTAGGCAACATCCCGGCAGAAACCTCCGCAGAAGAGATCTTGAACCATGTTCGAAGCGGTCAAATTGAGTCGGTTCGTTTGCTTCCTGACAAGAACTGTGCATTCATCTCCTTCCTGGACAGCAACTCCGCAACCCACTTCCACTCGGATGCAATCTTGAAGAAGCTTGCCATCAAGGGGAATGACATCAAGGTGGGTTGGGGCAAACCCTCCCAGGTGCCTACTTCGGTCGCTCTGGCTGTGCAGCAGTCCGGCGCATCGCGGAATGTATACCTAGGCAACCTGTCGGAGGACATGACAGAAGAAGAACTGCGGGAGGAGCTAGGAAAGTTTGGGCCTATCGATACCGTCAAGATCGTCAAGGAGAAGGCGATTGGATTCGTCCACTTCTTGTCCATCAGCAACGCGATGAAGGCTGTTTCTCAACTTCCTCAGGAGGCTAAGTGGCAGGCACCCAGGCGCGTATTCTACGGCAAAGATCGGTGCGCTTATGTTTCCAAAACGCAGCAGCAAAATGCTGCTCAGTTCCTGGGTATTGCCCCTGGATATGCACACATCCTCAATTCGGCGGACCGTGATTTGATCACCAACGCACTCGCTCAGCAATCTGTGGCCGCAGCAGCTGTGGCCACCACAGCCGGCGGAGTCAACAACTTGGGCAACCGGACCATCTATTTGGGGAACATTCATCCCGAAACAACTATTGAGGAGATTTGCAACGTCGTACGTGGTGGTTTGCTGCATCATATTCGCTATATTCCCGATAAGCATATCTGCTTTGTCACTTTCATTGATCCTACGTCAGCCGCATCGTTCTACGCCCTAAGCAACCTGCAGGGCCTCATGATTCATAACCGTCGTCTGAAGATTGGCTGGGGTAAGCATTCCGGTCCTCTTCCGCCAGCTATCGCCCTGGCCGTGAGTGGCGGTGCTTCTCGAAATGTCTATGTCGGTAATCTCGATGAGACCTGGTCGGAGGAGCGCCTTCGCCAAGACTTCTCCGAATATGGAGAGATCGAGCTTGTCAACACGCTCCGTGAAAAGAGCTGCGCATTTGTCAATTTCACCAACATCGCCAATGCCATCAAGGCGATTGAAGGGATGCGGAACCGCGACGAATACAAGAGATTCAAGATCAACTTTGGGAAGGATCGCTGCGGAAACCCCCCGCGTCAAGCTGGTAATGGAGGTCCGCAGGGTCGTAATGGGTCCGGGTTTGAGGGACCTCAGTCACCTTCTCCAGCCTTGAATGGCTTCCAGCAGAACCTAAGCCAATCTGGCTCGGGCTCTAGCCCGACTCATCCTGCCCTATCTCCTGCTCCAGGGTCTACGGGTTCTCAGAATGGTCAGCACCACAGGCATCCCCTGCAGACCGTCTCATCCCCGTCTGGCATTCTGAATGTCGGTGCAAACAATCCTTTGACTATGTACCTCAACCAAATGTCCGCCCAGCAAGCCCAGGAGCAGGAAAACCGGCTGAATGACCCCATGACCTTAGCTGGTCTTCAGTCCCAGCCTCAACCGCCACAACAGCAGTCGCTCTACAATGGCGCGAGCACTGGTGAGCTTTCCAACGGCAGCATCGAGGCCCCGTTGCACCAACACAAGCCGTCGACCAACGGATTCTTGAATGTGACCAACGGCTCTACAGGCCCCGGCCACCATGCTACCGCTAGCACCAGCAGCCTGAATGTGCCACGGGCGCAACATTCCCGGGCCGTGAGTTTGCCATCGTTTTCTCAGGAGCCTTTCGGGTCTGTTTCGAACCAGCCTCCCCGTTCTGGAATTGCCCATCAGCCGCAAAGCAGCTTTTCGAGCTTCACCTCTGCTCTAGGCGGTCTCAGCCATGCCGGCTTCGGATTAGCCATCCAGAACGAGAGTTCGCTGCCCGGCTGGGCCGAGGAGGAGATTGGAGCCAAATAAGTGCACCCTGCCGCTGCAAGGGTGATGCCCGCTATTCCACTTGATGAGCATAGCCATTCTTCTT